CTGGGCCTGGGGGGACGGGGAGCACACGTGCCGTGACTGGGCACACGGGGACGTTGAACACACGTGCCGTGACTGGGCACGCGGGGACAGTGAGCACACGTGCCATGACTGGGCACGCGGGGACGGTGAGCACACGTGCCGTGACTGGGCACGCGGGGGCAGCGAGTGCACGTGCCATGACTGGGGCACGCAAGGGTGGCGAGCACACGTGCCATGACTGGGCATGTGGGGACGTTGAGCACACGTGCCGTGACTGGGCACGCGGGGACGGTGAGCACACATGCCGTGACTGGGCATGCGGGGACGGTGAGCACACGTGCCGTGACTGGGCACGCGGGGACGGTGAGCACACAGGGGCTCCTCAACCCTTCTCATGAAAGGCTGCTCTTTCATGTTCCTAGGACGGGCTTGTGTGGCTGCACTGTGTTCACGAGGTCTGACTGGTACAAAGCTGAGTGTGCCCAGCATGCGAGTCAGGAGACGGACCCGGGCTGAGTGTGCCTGGCATGTGAGCCAGGACAGGGGACACGGGTTGAGTGTGCCTGGCTCATGAGCCAGGAGACAGGCACGGGCTGAGTGTGCCCGGGCACGTGAGCCAGGAGACGGGCATGGGCTGAGTGTGGCTGGGCATGTGAGCCAGGACAGGAGGCCCGGGCTGAGTGTGCCCGGGCACGTGAGCCAGGACAGGGGGCCCGGGCTGAGTGTGCCCGGGCCCGTGGGCCACGCGACATGTGAGCCAGGACAGGGGGCACGGGCTGAGTGTGCCCGGGCACGTGAGCCAGGAGACGGGCATGGGCTGAGTGTGCCCGGGCACGTGAGCCAGGACAGGGGGCACAGGCTGAGTGTGCCTGGCTCATGAGCCAGGACATGGGGCACGGGCTGAGTGTGCCTGGGCACGCTAACCGAAAGGGATCTGAACCACAGACGAGAGCAAGCTGCCTTCCCAGAAGCAAGCCCGTCACCAGTGGGAACTGTGGAAAGAGAGCTGGAAACGTAAACCTCTCGCATCATCTCCGTGTCAGGTCTGCACAGCTCTCACCACGCCGTGTAGACAGACGTTCATCTTCACCCTGACTTCTGTGAACACAGGATCACCACGATGTGGGAGCTGAGTCCTCTCCTAGGAGGGGCAGACAGGGCCGATACCTCTCCTTGCCCCTTGGAATATCACACTGGGAGTCCGGGAACGAAAGAAAGATGGAGCAGGGAAGAGCAGAGTGGGTTGGTTTAGTCAGAGGCAGAGCGCGAGGGCCGGAGACAGGGGGGCCCGGTTTGGGCTGTTCTGAAGTCTCCCATACCTTTCAGCTCTAAGTGCCCAGCACGCTACAGCCCCATACTTCGGGGTGTTGTTCCTGAGTCCCAGCACCGTGACCGAGGCTCCGCACGGTACTTTCATGGGGACAGGAGGAGGGGCCGTTGCCGGTTGTCTAATTTCTTCTTAGTGAGTGACGTGTGTCACTGTAATGACGGGGTCCAGGTGGGGGCCCAGGACTTCTGAGGGATCCTTCAGTTTTCATCATCCTGGAATTTTAATTATGTTCTATAAAATACACTGACTTTTCTCTCAATTTTTTTTTTAAACAGAGTCAAAACAACTGGTGAAGGTCAGAGCCAATTATGCCAGAGCAAGAAGGCAGCAGGGCCCTCAGGCCACAGACGTCGTGCTGTCCCCATCCGCGAAGCTGCTGTCCCTGGCACAGCTGCAGAACTCCCCGGACAGGGCCGCTTACTGCGTGCTGCATTTCTCTGCAGCCCAGTGAGCCTACCATGTGCTCACTGCGACAGTGACTACTTCACCTTTCAGTCGCGTGCGGTCTAGACCTTTGTTTGAAGACCTTTGGCATTTTATATAAAGGGGGTCGGATGCCTCCAATCTGTTCTGGGAAAACAGTAGACTTAGACACTACAATGCTGGTAAGGTAACTACCCAGTATGTCTTCTAGAGACAACGTGGAGACTACGAGTTTTTATTTAAATGTAGGTTATCAGAGGCAGTGTATACGTAATGTGTGTGTATATTGCATGCGATATTTGATAGGCAGCTGCCACCTAACACTGAGACTGACATTCGCTGATTTAGATGCCGTGTTTTCCAAACCTCCATGTTAAAATCCTACATTGACTGAATAAAAGGAACTGGTAGTGGCCACCGAAGGCCACTTGGCCCCACCTTCCCCGCCTCAGTCTCCAGTTTCAGCTGCAGAGCGGCACAGGGCTCTGTGGTCGTCACTTCTGGGCCACCGAAGGGCCCCGTTCCCACAATGCCTAGTGATGGTTTAGCCTCTTTGTGAGAGGGCAAGCTCTTTATTCCTAATCAGATGACCAGCTTGAGTGGAGTACAGAGCATTTCCAGATGAATCCATTTACCGCAGAACTCCCTGGCACAGAGAAGGTCCGGCAAGCACACGGTCAAAGGGTCGGGGCGAGGGGGGGGCACGGGGCTCACCATGCTGAGATGAAACCCGCGTGTCCGTGAATGATATTTCCACCGGGCCTGGGTGACACTTACTCATGTCGGGAATGCCTTTAAGTCAGTGGTCGTGAGGGTCAGGGACCTTTCCAACTGCACGAGGCCTCAGAGGCTCCTGTCTTACCCAGTGGCTACTCGCAAAGACGGGGGTCACCGAGATGTGTCTCAGACAATCGCTGAGAGGAACTGACATTAACGACCCCAGAAGATGGGTGGTCACAGGTTCTCGAGGTCAGGTCTGGGAGAGGGGCGTCCCAGAGCCTGTAGTTCACAATGACACATAGCAAGCTGGGCCCCAGGTTATCTGGTAGAACGTGGCTAGCATTTGCACTCTCAAACTGGCAAAGCATGGTCCTGAATCAACTGCGAGGCTCTCTGTCTAATGAGAACCGTAACACTTCGACGTGCACACCACCGCGGGGAGCAGTGAGATGCCATTCAGCACGGCGAGGCTGGGCAACTCCCGATAAGTGGCCAGAAATCCCAAGCCGTGGACTATGTCTTAGGGACAGAGACACGCACTGCTCGAAACAGAGAAGAGTGGAATGGTTATGCTTTAAAAAGTGATCAGGATGACCAGCAGTCTGAGACATCAGTCCTAGAGGACAACAAGAATTTACCTGTTAACTTCTTCCGGAGAAGAAGAAAGAACTATTTTTTGAAAATACAGCAGTGACAAATCGGAGTTTGGTCTCTGTTCCTGGGGGACAGTTCCCAGAGAAATGCTCTCCCTCCCCCTCTTTCTACGAAAGCCAGTAACGGCTCTGCCCGAGTATAAATTGCAGCCTGGCTAGGTGTGTACAGAACGGCTCCGCTGGGCTGGCTCCCCGGCTCCTGAGGCCGCGCAGGAAGGCAGTATATCATTTCTACTGAAGGGGCTCTTGGGAACCGTCGTGCGAGGCTCCGTGTTTACGCCCAGTCTGCAGAGCAGTAAGGCTGCATGAATACATTCCTGAGCCTGCAGCAGCACTAACAGCAGAGCCCACAGAGGTGAAATTTCACACTCCATCAGCAGCGTCTGCCCTCTGACAGACACCTCTCCGTGTCGCGTGATGTGGTGGAGGTGGTGGTGTTCCAGAGCGGCTGTGTGCCATGTCACAGGGAGAGGGTACGTGCGACTCCTACTTCGCTGTTCCTTTTTTAACAAGTAGGGTTTAAGGAACTTGCTCCCAGTCAGAAAGTTAACAGGGTGCTTATCAGCGGGGCCTCTTCGAAGAGTGACTTGATCATAATTCTCATAAAGACGACTTTTTCTTTTTTCAAAATTCCTTGAATACAAAGGCATTTCTGTAGGTGCAAAAGTCCCTATCACTCTGCTGCCAGGAAAAAAGGTGATTTGCTATGAAAATGGCATAATTTCACCCTGGATCAAATGTGCAAATTCTTGTGAAGTCTTCGCTGTTGCATGTGAAAATGCCCGAAGCGAAAATTGGCAATATCACACGACACTGTGTCAAGCACCAGGAGACAGAAGGGAGAAGTCTTAGCTGAGCCTTCCTATTACCAGGAAATGGGATTTTAGATGTAACATGACAGTCATCAACACGTAGCGTTTACCACGGCGCCGCGCGGCCCGCTGTGTGGAGGGTACCTCCAACTGTTCGTGGCCACTTTTTAGCACGGACGGAGGCCAGCCCGCCTTTCCCGTGACCGACCTCGCTCTTTGGTTGGTGGGTGTGGACTGGGGAGCGCTTACTCCAACCTCAGCGAGGACGACAGAACTAGCATCGCAATTCTGTTCAGCCCTCCCAGGCTTTTAATAAACCCAGTCATTTCCTTTGAGGACACGCTTATCAAATTTGAGCCAGCCTCATGTGTAAGACTTCACTACTTTCCTTTCAACTGAAAATCATCGTTGTCGAATACTGAAACAACCATCCCCAAGTCCGTGGCCTTCTCCAGAGATGTCTGTCCTGCTGGTTCCCAAACACCCTTAGGGTGGCCAGACGGTAATGAACTGCACACCAGCACCTGAGATTGTCCTTGGGAGACCGGACTTTCCTGCCTGCCTCTGGCTTTTGCTGCCTGATGAAGTGTTGGCGTCAAGTTACATGTTCCCAGGCGAGCTAACTCAAGTCCTTCGGCCTAGAAGTCTGGCAAACATTTTGAGACTTAACTGGCAGTATTTGCCAAGAAGAGGCAGTTTTTCTGGGTGCGTTTGTCAGCTTTGTAAAGAGCGTACATCAGTGTGATTCATGATGGAAGGTATGGCTTTGCAGGGTGATAACAATTTTTTGTTTTTCTCGCTTGCTCGTAATAACTAAACAACACTGCGTGTGTCAAAAACAAAACAAAGCAACGAACAACACGAAAACCCGGTCTCTTGCCGGAGATGCCCGGTGGCACTGCGGCCAGCGGCTGTCGTGGCATTTGTGCTCTCACCGGCGCTAACAGCCCAGGCGTGCTGTGCCGTGGAGACCTGTGACCCGCTGGCAGCAAATGTTCTCGGGCGTCATTTGGAAGAGAGTGGTGGAAACACAAGGATCTGGGTTATTCTAGATTATCACCAATCAGGTGCACATGTCCTCGGTTAGATGGAATTCGGACCCACCGGTGATCCTCGGTCGTCTTCATCATCGGATGGCTCCAGCCCCCTCCTGGCTCACGCACAAAAGCTCCCTGTCCCCAGCCCCAGGCTGGCTAAGCAGAGAGAGCGACTGTGGTTTTGTTTCCAGCACAGTGCGCTGGAACTGCGCAGAAACGGCGGGTTCAGGACCGTGGCAATCAGCGACCGTAAAGCAAGGTCAGCAAAGTCCACCCAGGCCGGTGCTGATGACGGGAAATGGACCGACCTCGGACTGGAGGGGGCACCGGGGGCTCTGGTGCCAGCTGCTGTGTGTCCTGCTCCTGCGAGTGTGTAACCTGCCAGTGCCATCACAGGCCACCACCCATGGCCCGCCGTTCACACC